AAAAAAAAAAAAAAAAAAAAGTTTTTCCAACAAATATGTTATATTTTTTATTTTAATTAAAATTTATAATTTATTCAAGCAATTTTATTTTTAATTATAGTACTACGTGGTTAACTAACATCGGTTACAGACATGTACAGTTGTTATAATTTTATGTTTAATTTTGATTAATATGTTAATGATGAATTAACATTATTTAATTTTAAAATAAAAGATTTCAGAGACAAATATTACATAAAAAATAATTATAGAAACTAAAAGTAAATTTAATTTTTTTATAATATTATATTTTTAATTGATATTGCACTCTGAACATATGCTATATGTGGTATATGCAGACATATATTGTTTACATGGGTGATCATTCCAAGGACACCGTCCAATCCATAGAATTACTTCACATTAGTATGCTTGGAAGTATCCTTGACAGGTTATGCAATTGCCTAATTGCTACGCATATTATATTTTTGTTTGTGTATTTTATTTTTATTATTAATAAACATGATCATAAAGAGGTCAACGTTACTCATGCATGTATTTTGCTAAACTAATTGAAACTTTTTTATAAAAAAAAATTTGTTTGGGTATCTAAAATGACTAGCAACTTTTTTCCCACTACTAATATTTCAAAATTAAGATTATTTCGATGTAACTGTTCAAACACTTTTGCTTGATCTTTTGAAATAATAATGATATGATATTTAACATATTGAGGGTGTCGCAACCGTGGTTAGTATACATGACAACAAAAATAATTAAAAGGATAAATTCTACACTGTTCATCTCTTATAACATTCACGATATTAGATTTTTATTTTTAGTTTCTCAATTTTATAAAATTTATCATTTTAGTCTTTTTATATTGAATGTTTATTCATTAATTATTAAAATTGTAATATTAATCATAATTTGATTTTAAGTTGATGAAATAATTATAAATATTTTATAATATTTTGACTAAATTACAGTTTTAATTTTTATTTTTATTTTCATTTTATTTTATTATTTTTACAAGATTAAAATTAAAAGTAAAAGTAAAGTTTTTTCTAAATATTATTAAATTTTGATCATCATTTCATTTTTTCAATAATTAACGTTGCAATTTTATCAATTAATAGAAGGATTTGAAAAAAGGATCAAAATTATAGATTTTATAAAATTAAAAATAAAGGTATGGATTTTGGTACTATAGAACTTAAAAAATCAATTTAACCTAATTAAAAACAGAAAAATCACCACAAATATTTATTTTAGAAACAACTTCAGAATATGTTTTTAAAAATAAACGGTGTATTGAAACAAAATTTTGAATTTCAGAGTCAATTACGTACAGCAAAGTTAGTAGAACCATATGATGTCCATCATAATTAGCTTTAAAATCTGCCTATTTTGCTTTTAAAAACATAATAAAAAGGTAATTATGCTAATTTCTACTAATATTTAGTACAACTGTTAATTAGTTACGTTAATCAGTTTATTAAATCTTCTATTTTATTTTAAAAAAATAGGTTGGTACTTGGTATCAAATTGCTAAAACTTTTTTTTATCAATTATTACGTTAATTGATAACCTTCAATTGAATGATAATTTTCTAAAATTCATTGTTGAATTGAAAGTTTGTTAAAATTAAATACAAAATTTACATTAATAAAATTATTTAAGATCTCATTCATTTAAATCAAAATTAAGATAATATATATAT